CGATGCCGTGGCCTGCTGTGACGCGCGCCGACTCGCCCAGTCACGACGCGGCGCCTCTTCGCGAGGCGTTGGCGGCGAAGGCCAAGGCGAAGGCTGAGGCACGCGCGAAGGCCAGCGGTGCGACCGCGGCCGACGCGCCCACTTCCAAAGCGGGGCCTGTGCAGCGCCCTGGCCAGCAGGTGAGCGCGTCGGAGAGCGAAGATGTCTCGGACGAAGGGTCCGACGTGATGTCTGAGGCGGCGACCTTTCGGACGTCGCCGACACTGCCCACGGGATCAGTGACGCCTGCCGAGGGCGCCGACGGAGGCAGCGGCACGGGGGCCGCCCCCAGTGCCGCTGCCTCCGAAGGTGCCTCGGACGGAGGCCCCACGGCGGCGGCCGAGGCGCCTGCTGGGGCCTCCGCGATGCCCACGGCGGCGGTGGTGCCAGTGACGAGGGCTGCCTTGGCAGCGGCAGCCACCTACTCCAACTTCACCACGGAGCAGCGCCGCGGGTTGGACGCGATCACCCTCGCGCTCCACAACCTCCAGCTGCGGGAACAGGCCGCGGGCGGCCGCGGTGGCCGAGGTGCGCGCAGCGACGCCGATGGCGGCCGCTCCGTGGACGATGAGACCGCCAGTGAGGCCCCGAGTGCAGCGACCACGGGCGCCCTCAGCGGTCATGGAGGCAAACGCCACCGCCGACGCAGCAACAAGGCCGCCTACGGCCAGGCCCCCGCCGAGCGGCGGCACACCTGCCGCGCTCGAGGGCGCCGAGATGATGGCGGACGAGGACTACGCCGAGGCGGGCTACGTCCACTGCATGGGTGCGTGCTGGGTCCCGCCGCAGCGCCTGAGCTGGTGTCGGGTGTGCACAGAGCTGGGCGACTGGAAGATCATGATGGTGGAGTACGTGGACGAGCTCAGTTGTGGTGAGATGCGCCGCTACGCTGAGGCTTCAGGGCGCAACCAGAAATACCCCGAGCTGCGGAAGGGTGCTCAGGGCCAAAACAAGCTATACACGTGCTCGCGCTGCGTGGCGGCGACGCAGAACATCACCGAGCACGAGGCCGTGACGCGCGCAGCGCGCCTGAACAAGGGTGCAGGCTCCATCGACCACGGCGCCAAGCGAGTGGCGAAGTTCCGCGCGAGCTTCGACCACATCAAGGAGGGCATGGACGTGCTGGTGGGGTTCGCGCTCTCCGAGGAAGGCTTGCTTGCCCTGCGGGGGTCAACGGAGGGCGCAGGGGTGGGCATCGATCCCGAGAGCACGGGCGCCCCCCCAGCCACGGAAACGGTGGCGGAGGAGGTCGTTCGCCCGATGGCGATGGCGGTGGGGGTGGTGACGGGGCCGCCCCGCGCGCCACCTCCACCCCTCGAGGATGGACCTGGCCCCGCAGGCCCTCCCCGTGGCGATGAGAGCGACCCCCCGCCCGACAACGATGCTGAGGACCAGGAGCACCAGCTGACCGACGTCAAGACCGTGGAGGAGGTCACGGATATCGAGCCCCTGCTGCGGCTCGGCCTCTCCAAGAAATCGCTGAAGCGTATGGCGCGGGCCTATGGCGTCCTCAAATTCGAGACCATGCGCGCCCACGTGCTGGGAGGCCTGGGGCCCATCCTGGAGAAGAAGGATGACATGGTGAGGGGCACAGAGGCGCAGGACGGGGTCCAGAAGTGGCTCGACGCGCTGAATGAGGAGGCAGAGGATGATGTGGGAAGGCTGAAGAAGGGCCTCCTGGAAGCCTCGGGGGTCGCGGACGCACACCTGGGGCACAAACGTGCCTGGGAGGAGGAGTGCCAGGGCAACGCCACGGCGCGGGAGGCCTACCGACGCATGGGCGACTACACGGACCAGTTCTACCGTGGCAAGGGTTTCACGTTCGACGTGTACTACAAGTGCTCGGCCAACAAGACCTGGGACAATCCCAGGGGATGCTGCTCGGTGACCCGCTCGGATCGCTGGACGCAACTGCTCACCTGCGCGCAGGAAGCGGCGGGGGAGACGGGCCAGCGCTGGTACTGCCATTGTGGTGCGCGCTACGCGACCTCCTACGGCGTCTGCATCGAGTTGATAGAGGAAGAGCTGAACCCGCCACGTGCGTACTACATGCACGCGGAACACCCCGAGGAGGACATCCGCGACTTGAAGGCCCTGCTGCGCTACGACAAGCTCAAGAAGGAGGGGGTAGCGGTGTTCAGCGCTGTGGACCTCCTGAAGCACCTGCCCAAGGTCGAGCCGCTGGCGGTGGGCACCGTCTTCAAGCGCTACGCTCCACACCAGCCGCAGTGGGAGGGCCACTATATGCTAATGGAGGGGCTCTCCTGAGAGAGCCTGACCGAGTTCACGTGGACCGACCTGTGCGCGCAGGTCGCCTGGGGACTGAATGACCCAGAGTGGGCGGGCTACACCGAGAAGCAGCGGAATAGGGCCAAGAGGGAGCGCTTGGAGACGGCGCACAGGGAGCTGGCGCTCTACGAGCGCCGCCACAACCTGCGGGAGGGCAGCCTCACGGGCGGCGGGGGTGGCACAGGGGTCGCCCTGCGCGCCACCCCCGCCCGCACCGCCAGCGCCCCTCCAGCCGGCGTGGCCCGCGGCAGCCAGGATCCGCCACCACCGCCTGCTGGGGCCCCGCCAGCGGCCACCATGGCCCCGCCGCCGCCGCCGCTGACGGCGCCCCCTGTGGCGCCGCCGCCGCCGACGGACCCGCCGCCGCCGACGGACCCGCCCCCGCAGCAGATCCCAAATGTTGCCGCCCTGAACGTGGCCCTCGGTGAAGATCTCGAGCGCCAGATCTTTGGGCCCTCAGGGCAGGCGGGCGGCAGTGGCGACCTCGGGGGAGAAGTGCAAGCGCTGCCGTCGCAGGTCTTTGCAGCCATTGCGCAGGGAGCAGGCCAGTCCGCCTGAATGATGAAACCCAGCAGGCCCACAGCATCGGGTACATCTAAGCACTCGGGGGGGCTACGTGAGTCCATGCCAAGATCTCGTGCCTGCCACTCTCAGAGGTGCTGAACCTGTAGGTCTGCGTACGCCCCAGCTGCAGCAACGCCGCCTTACCCGCGAGCGCGGTGTGCCCACAGTGGTACCCCCCTCGCGCCGCGGCCCCTGTTGCTTTAGCCTCCGCTCTGCGCGCGGTCATCTGTGCGCCTAGCCACTCTGGCTTGCCAATTGGCTTGCCATCTTGGCCTCCTCTCACGCCTACTTGCGCTCGTGAGCCTCGCTGGCGGTACTGGGGTCGCCCCGTGTGCTGCCGCGACGCCGCTGGGCGCCTAGCCATTTTGGCTTGCCATCCTGGCCTCCTCTCGCGCCTTCCTGCGCTAGTTGGCCTCGATGGCGGTGCTGGGGTCGCCCCGTGTGCTGCTGCACCGCCGCTGTCGCTTTACTTTGGGCCGTAGGGACCAGCTGCCCTCGGATAAGCGCCCGCCACTGCATGCACGTCAGACCCGCCCTTCCACCCAGAAGAGGTGCCCGCTACATACGGGAAATGAGGCAGCCACAAGGACGCTCTTCCCAAGGTGTTTGAGCCGTGGTGATGTGGTGCACGAGACGGCCAGTAGTAGTAGTAGTAGTAGTAGTAGTAGTAGTAGTAGTAGTAGTAGTAGTAGTAGTAGCGTAGTAGTAGTAGTAGTAGTCGTAGTAGTCGTAGTCGTAGTCGTAGTAGTAAGTAGTAGTAGTAGTAGTAGTAGTAGTAGTAGTAGTAGTAGTAGTAGTAGTAGTAGTAGTAGTAGTAGTAGTAGTAGTAGTAGTAGTAGTAGTAGTAGTAGTAGTAGTAGTAGTAGTAGTAGTAGTAGTAGTAGTAGTAGTAGTAGTAGTAGTAGTAGTAGTAGTAGTCGTAGTCGTAGTCGTAGTAGTAGTCGTAGTAGTAGTAGTAGTAGTAGTAGTAGTAGTAGTAGTAGTAGTAGTAGTAGTAGTAGTAGTAGTAGTAGTAGTAGTAGTAGTAGTAGTAGTAGTAGTAGTAGTAGTAGTAGTAGTAGTAGTAGTAGTACTCGTAGGAGGAGGAGGAGGAGGAGGAGGAGGAGGAGGAGGCCCTGGGTGGCCTCTTGGGTTGTCAGGGAGGCCGTCCTAAGCCGTCTGGAAGGCCTCTGGGGGGGTCGTCTGGGAGGCCGTGGGAGCCTGCCGTTCCCGTCGTCGTTCCCCCTTCTTGGGTCGTCTCGAAGGCTAAGGGGGGCAGGCGGGAACGCGACCGGGAACGCGACCGGGAACGAGAACGGACTTATGGGGCGTTCGCGCGCTTTTACGGGGACCCCCCAGCCCAAAACTATTGAGGTTCAAAGTAGTATAATTAGACCAAGAAGTATTCCGGATACACGGGAACAGAAAATCACAGCATCAGGGGAGAGTAGTATCCATATTGCGTAAATGCGGATCAGCAGAAGGAGGAGAAAGAAGAGGATGACGACGAGAAGGGAGTCGGAGGGGCAGAAGAGGTAGTAGGGGGAGGCGAAGGTAGAGGAGGAGGAGGAGGAGGAGGAGGGGGAGGAGGAGGAGGAGGAGGAGGAGGAGCAGAAGTAGGGGCAGGAAGGGAAGGAAGAGGAGCATGACTAGGAGGAGGGAGGGGTTACAGGAGGAGGAACATGGCATCGCATGCCGCTCGTCGCTCGATCGCCCGCCGCGGGCGCCCCCATTGCAGCGCCGCCGCAGCCGTATTCATCGAATTCGCCTGGCGCGTTACCCCCGATGCGACCGGTTAAAGATACCCAGATCGTCGGCGGGCCGCCGTGGCATGCCGCGGTGGGGCCTGCGGGCCTCACTGCGGGCCCGCGCCGCGCGCCTCCTGTTAGGGGTCCTGGCATGCGCCCCGGCAGCATTGCCCAGCTCACTGGCAGACGGCAGCGCATATCGGGTGGTGCTAGAAGTGCCCTTGGCCCAAAGTGCCCCCAGGACTTCCAAGGAGGCCCCAATGGCCTCCAGAAAACCCTTCACGAGGCCCAGAGGGTCCCAGGGGCTCCAACATGGATCTAAAAGCTGGGGGGTGCCCTGGGCCAAGGGCACCTTTAGCAATCCCCGAACATACGTGGAAGGCCCCAGGGTGGACAACCTCGCGTTCGAGGAGCATTGCGACGCGGCCGTGTTCAGCCTAGAGGATGCCATGGACGCGTGCGACGCCGACGCCGACTGCGGAGTGCTGCACGCGTACGATTGCAAGAGTTCCTTCTGGCGCGCGTGCAGCACCACATTGCAGGAGCTTCAGGTGCTATCTGCCTCTGGGGGATCCGACGCCTGCACCATGGTCCCCAGCTCTTCTGTGATATACGTCGACGGCCCGAATGTAGCCGATGGCGCCCACCAGGGGCTGTGCAGCGGCGAAGCGTCGAGCCTAGAGGAAGCGATGGCACTGTGCGACGGGTCTCTGTGGTGCAAAGGCCTGCACTCGACTGGGTGCGCGGACGACTTGTGGCGGTCGTGCGCCGTGCAGCCGTCAGTGTTGCAGCAGGCAGGCGTGGGCACGAGCGCTTGCACCAAGGTGCGAGGGCTTGCTTCCGTACTGGCCACGAGCACGACCACCACCAGTGCCACGGCGACGTCGACGCTCACGGCCGTCTGGGCGTGTGCAGAACTGTCCCCATCCTCCGTCCCTGCAAGGCGGCGGCGGACGGAGAGGGGGAGGTGGGAAGGCAGATCAGCAGCAGCAGGAAGGAGGGGGGGAGGCTCTCAAGGTTGTTCAGGGGTGGTTATACAGTGAAAATATACTGGGGCAGACCTGAACCCTTCTCCTGTTCGTCCTCCTGCTCCTCCTCCTCCTCCTCCTCCTGATCATTATCCCTTTCCTCCTTGTCCTGTTCCTTATTGTATTCCCACCCCACCTCCGTCTCATCCTTCTCATTGTCTGTTCGTTCAAAAGGCCACGCCATTCCTCCCATTCGAAAACGACAAGGACGAGCACCACCAGGAGGAAGAGGGCGAACGTCCAGTTGCCTGCGGCAAATCCTGCCACAATGCCAGCGAAGCAACGCAGAAGCAGTAAGATGAAACTAGAGACTCCAGTTCAGCGCTCAGTCTGAACTGGCGCGAGTCTTGAGCGCCCCCTCGCAGCCTCGTTCTTTTCTGCCTTCTTCCCCCACCCTCCTTCCCCTCCCACTGCCAACTTCTGAACTGCCGTGGTTCTTAAATTTTTGACGCTTCGCGAATCCCCATCAGCGCCTGGAGTTCGTTCCCTACCTTATTGTCGTCTTGGTACGATCACGGCGGGAACGCTTACGCGCCATTTTGGCTGCGTTGGCACCCCCGGTGGCTGATCTCTCAGACTCCCTGGGTTTGCCGCTTGCACGTTTCCTTGGGCTGTCCTTGCAGACTCCCTGGGATTGCACGCCCGCCTGGCCTCTCAGACGCCCTGGGTTGCTGCCCCCCCCGCCGCCTGATCCGCGGCCCCCGCGCGCGCCCGGGAATTTAGTCGCGGCCGCAGCCCGACCGTGACCGCTCGCCGTCGGCGCCTCCGCCTGCGGCTGAAAAAAAAAGAAAAATCCCCATCAGCCCGTAGCCTGGCTCAAGCCGCTCTGTCTCGAGTCCAGAGCAGCAGGGCGCTCTCGCGGCGGCCGCGGCGGCCGCGGCGGCCGCGTCGGCCGCTATGTCGTGGCACAGTGGCCTCTGGCGGGCCGCGGGCCCGCTGCAGGTGACCGATCCGTGTGCTGGTGCGGCTGCCGCGGCAGCTCACTGGCATGGAGACGGCGGCCGCGGCGCAGGACACCGCTTGGAGTGGGTGGCATTGGTCACCCGGCGGGCAGGCGACGCCATTCGAGTCGCCCGCCGCCCGCCGCCGCCGCCAGCGCGCCGCCGCGGGCGCCGCCGGCGCCGCTTGTGCCGCTGGCGCCGCGGGCGCCGCTGGAGCCAGCGCCGTTGGCGCCGCCGGCGCCGCGGGCGCCGATGGGGCCGGCGCCGCGGGCTGGGCCGCCGGCGGGCCGCGGGCGCTCGGGCGCCCGGCGCCGGCTGGCGCAGCCGGGCCCGGCCGCGGGCTGGCGGCTGGCGCGCCGCCACCGCCGGCCCCTGCGGCCGCCGGCTCCACGGCTGCCGCCGCCGCGCCGCCGCCGCCGCCGTGGCGGAAGCGCGCCGCGGCGGCCGCGGGCCCACGCGGCCGCCGCCGCGGCCGCCGTGGCCCGCGCGGCGCCCCGTGGGCCCGCGCAGCGGGCGCCGCCGCGGCCGCGGTGGCGCCGCAGCCGCTGGCGCGGCGGCGGGGCAGCCGCTGGCATCAGGAAGCCGCTGCAGCAGCAGCAGCTGCAGCTGCAGCAGCAGCAGCGCAGCTGCAGCAGCAGCAGCAGCAGCAGCGCAGGCAGCGCGGCCCTCGGCGAGCAGCCGCAGCAGCAGGGCAGCAGTAGCAGCAGCAGCAGCAGCAGCAGCAAGGCTGCAGCAGCCGCAGCCGCCGCCGCAGCAGGGCAGCAGCAGCAGCCGCAGCAGCAGGGCAGCAGCAGCAGCAGCAACAGCCGCAGCAGCAGCAGCAGCGGCAACAGAACCCAGCAGCTGCAGCAGCAGCAGCAGCAGCAGCAGCCGCAGCAGCCGCAGCAGCCACTGCAGCAGCAGCTGCGGCAGCAGCAGCAACAGAGCCCCGCAGCTGCAGCAGCAGCACTCCCCGCAGCAGCAGCAAGAGCCACCCAGCGACCACAAGAATAACCCGCGAGAAGGCGCTGAGGCACCGGTGCTCCCTCAGCAGCAGCAGCAGGGCAGAGAAAAGGAGAGGGGGGTCGGCGGAGGCTGCGGAGGCCGCGGAGTATCGGGGGCCCGAAGCGACGGAAGCCTCGGAAGGTGCGGAAGTGGCGCAAGCCCCAACTTATGTCTCTGGATCTGAGCACTGCAGCAGCAGCTGCAGCAGCAGCAACAGAGCCCCGCAGCCGCAGCAGCAGCACCCCCCGCAGCAGCAACGAGAGCCATCCAGCGACCCCGAGAAGAACCCACGAGAAGACGCAGAGGCACCCGTGCTCCCTCAGCAGCAGCAGCAGCAGGGCAGAGAAGGAGAGGGAGGTCACGGCGGAGTCGGCGGAGGCTGCGGAAGCCGCGGAGTATAGGGGGCCCGAAGCGGCGGAAGCTTCGGAGGGTGCGGAAGTGGCACGAGCCTTCACTCGTGTCTCTGGATTAGAACCGGGTGGGCAGGGGGTGGCCCCCGATAGCGCTGACGGTAGCCGCAACAGTCAGCCAAGCGAGATTCCGGGACAGCAGGGGCTCGCCTGCCACACCGTGCCACCCCCACCTCCCCCTTCAGAACGCTCAGACCGCCAGCAGTCCTCTGGGAGCGCCACAGACCCAGCAGGGGGACCGCGGACCAACCGTCCAGACGCAGGACAGCGCAGCCATCCACTGGCTCGTCGGGAGAAACCCCTTCGCGCCTACTTTGATGAACGGCAGATTATATCTTAGATATAAGTTGAGGACGTGAGTTACTAACCGACTTAGGCGACTTACGAAGTCGAGTTATAAGTCGACTTAGGCCGACTTAGCATAACCGACTTAGGTGATCGACTTAGGTCAGCTTATAAGTTGAGTTATAACCTAAAAGCTAAGTCGACAGCCGACTTATAAGTCGACTTATAAGTCGAATTATAATTCGAAGTTGTCGACTTAGTAAGTCGAACTTCTTCGACTTACTAAGTCGAACTATTTCGACTTACTAAGTCGAACTATTTCGACTTACTAAGTCGAATTAGCCCCGAATTAGTATGTCCAAAGTAAATCCTCGATGTGTGGTTTTCTATATTTTCATCATGGGATTCAGTCATATACTACAGCGTTTCACACATACGCTTACATATGATCATTTTTGTACACACATAGTTTTGCACATATGCGCGTGTAAGGTGTGTTCACGCATTGGGATGTAGATAACGCGCGCGCACGTACACATGCGCATGTATGCACATGCACAATCATATGTCGATGTCGATATCGATATCGATGCATACGCGCGCCGCCTGCGATACTCTTATCAGCAGTAGCGCGGCGCGCGCCCCCCCTGCCTTGTAATTGTCTGTTCTACGGGTCGCACGAGCACCCCGCGATTGAAGAGAAGAAGGAGGCGCGCCGCGCGTGTGCACATGCGTGTCCTTTTTCGTGGTTGTTGAACTTTTTTTCAAAAACAACAAAACTTTTCTTTCTTGTCGCGACGCAGGCAAGAAAGAAAAGAAACGCAGAGCGGAGGCGCTGAAGGCGCGCGCACTTTACGTTCGTGAGCTGTTCCACCCTTGCCCCCGCAAAATAACGGATCGTGAAGCGATCTTGTTACGCTCGCGAGTGTCGTGAGCAGCCATTACAAGAAAGGGCGCTCCTTGCAGTGAGAAGAAAAGGGGGAGGGGGGGGGGAGAGAGAGAGAGAGAGAGAGAGAGAGAGAGAGAGAGAGAGAGAGAGAGAAGAGAGAGAGAGAGAGAGAGAGAGAGAGGAGAGAGAGAGAGAGAGAGAGAGAGAGAGAGAGAGAGAGAGAGAGAGAGAGAGAGAGAGAGAGAGAGAGAGATCGGACAAGTAGGCGGACCAGGGTCCGTCCGCGAGGCGCACTGCGGTGCGACAACTCGCCAAACACTATTTGCGGCGGTGCAGCCTTAAGATACGAGGGCGGGCAACAAAACCCCCTCCCCCGGCGCAATGCGACAGACGCTACAGACGGCGGACAGACGGTGAAGATCTCACATGTCAGACCGCGTGAAGAAAGAGGCCCCAACAAGGAAGGCGACGTGCTGACACGTGGCTAGGCGGTTTGGCAGACCGCCAGTTGGGCGCTTGGCCGCAAAGCGGCGCGCAGGGACGGGGCACCCCCCGCCCCCACGCCCTGACACCGTGGACGCGGAGCCACGCGTACACACGGGCAGGCAGAAAGGAGGAAATTAGCGCGGGACACCAGGTGGAGCGCCGCGGAGCGATGACAGCATAGCTTGGATGGTGAGTGGCGGCGTAGCACCATCGGGCGAGGGCGTAAGCAGCTCGGCGAAGGCACGCCCGGCGCGGTGGAGGCGCTGGAGCAGAGGGCCTTGACGGGCTTGAGCAGCGGCAAGGTCAGCGGCGAGAGCAGCACACCTCTGCTGAAGAGCGGCCATAGCCTGGGACAGCTCAGTTTCGCGGTCGGTGAGGGGCGGCTGCTCAGTGCCAGCGGCCGCGGGCCTCGTGGGAGGGACGAGGTCATCAGTGCGCCTGGCCAGGTGGTGGACTAGCGCAGTACGGCACTCCGTGTGCTGACGGCCGTCACCCTTGATAGGCGACTGGAGGGTAACACGCGGCCCCAGGGCTGGAGCCGCTAGGGCCACGCCCCGTGAGGTCGGAAGAGCCGCATCCTCGCGCCCAGCAACAATGGAAGCGTGGACGGGGTGCGACGGCCTGACTGGCTCGGTGCCCTGCGGGGGGGCTGGAGCCGCCCCCGCGGGCTGGCGCTGGTGGGGGGACGGAGTGGGTGGCACGGTAGGACCAATCATGATGCCGTGCGAGGGCTCGGAGGTCGGCCGCGTAGTCGGGTGGCGTCTCGATGGGGCGGCATCGTCGGCAGCGTGGGGTGTCGGCGGAGCGTCGTCTATGCTGCCACTCAGTCCGAGGGGATCAGCCAGGTCATCGTCGGCGTCTTGGCGGTGAGCG